GTGAGGATAAAATGGGAAAGAGAGGGCCATGTATATCAGTCACCCTGAGCTCTGTGTGGGAACAAAAAGATCACTAGGTAATATACATCAACTTCCCTGGGCACTTAAGAAGTATGTACCATTCCGACACTTCAGCGGAACGAGAATGTCCATACAAGGGCTGAACTGGCCTGCTTCCTGGTATCCTTGGTCTTCTCTGATTCTGTCCTGTGAGACATGGAGCAAAGAAGAGCAGAACATTGTACGCACCCGTATCAGTCATTTGTGATGCATCTTCAGGGGAGAAGGGAGGCTCCGAGTCCCGCCTCTTCCTGCTGTCCGAGCATCCTAGTATCGATTCGTCTTCTGGTTGAAGCACTCGGGCAATTCCTGGAATTTGCCCATGGCTTTGAGTAGGATGGAATGGAGCAGGAGTGCTGCTTTTCTGGCTCCATAGGGGAGACTGATTACCATCCATTACCCTACCCTGTGAAGCACTCTTTGAGATTTTTCACTCCGGTGTTTGGGCTCAGGAAAACTTGCACCCCCCAGTTTTATTTAAACAGCTGAATGTAGCCGCAGACCTTGAAAGAGCAGGTGCAGGTGCCGAGTGGGAGCCATGGCCAGAGGACTTTGCTTCCAGGAAGTAGTCTTGTTCACCATTGGGTAACCTCTCCCTTCAGCCTCCCTGAACCAAGCAAGGACAATCAGAAGGGGGGGGAAAAAGAATCTGAGCACTTGGACTGGATCCGGCTTGAGGCTCTCAGCTGCCGACAGTATTTCTCCCAGTCTCTTCCCCACAACAAAACCATTCCGTCCCGTAGTTTATGCAAAGAGATCCGTTTTGCCTTATGGTTTTGCAGTCGCAGCACTTGGATTTAGAAGCCGGTGGTATGTTTCCTCTGCTCTGTGTTTCCATTCATGAGAGTTAAGATAAGGTGTTTGGGCTGCTATGATTGGGGGGGGGGGATAGGCTTACTACCAAGAGGGGGATTTAAGGCTTAGCTTTGGAGCTCCCCCTCCCTCCAATTCTTTGGTCGCAGTCAGCTTCAACAGCATACGATTTTGCATCTTTTGTGGGCACGGGCCCACGTGTCCCATCATGTTGTTTGTGCTCACTGTGTGCCATCCCTGCCCCCGTCTTCCTGTGAGATGGAGGTTTTCCATTTTCTTGCAGAATTCTGTGTAGCAAGCTGTTCCTCAGCGGCTTGGCTGCGTTGGATCCTGAGCTGCTCAGGTGGTGATGCTTAACTGGAAGTCTGTATGCCGAATCATTGCAGTAGGAGGGGAGAATGCTTTTTTTTTACATTGAGATTGCATCTCTGATTTCAAATCGTGAAGAATTAAAGCAGAGATGTGGTCATCTGTGTCCCATCAGCCCTGTACATTTTATGCCGTACTGAAAGGTGTGCTACAAACAGGACACAGTTGTGCTCAAAACACTGCTCTGCCTAAAGAGCAGAGAGCGCTGTCAGGTGAATTCCACTGAGCTGCATTCTTCGCAGGAAGGGAACACACCCTCCTTTCTAGAATCGGGGCCCTAATGTCTCCTTGTGCATTTCCTTCAGAGTGCCCCCCCCCCCCCCCCCCCCACGCTCTTATTTAACATACCAGTTTATTGGGTCCTGGCTTCCCTGAATGAGTGGGATTAGGGGATCTGAAATAACAGAGCAGATTAAACAGTTGAAGATGGCAGCGTGGCAGCCTGATTCTCTTACGCTCTAACTTGTGTCGGAGAGCGTGAGCGAACAGAGAGAGGCATTGTTGGCAACGCACATTATTCTGTATTCCCGGGAGACCCATCTGGGAGATATCCCTGAGAGTGGACAAAGCAAATTAAATCTGTGCCAGCACATTCTTTATCCGCTGCTGGGTTAAGGTAGTTGTTCTTCCACAGAAGGATTTACATAATTTGCGTGCTGGGGAGCTAGTATCTGTTCTGATGAGCACCGGATGAATGGCCTAGTTCTGGGCGGAGGAGGAGGGGGGACAGCGTGTCACTGGAATCTGCGAGCCTTTGGTTCTGCCCTTGACAGAGGGGGTAATGAAAAATACTGATACCTTTCTTTAAACGTGTACCAGAAACAGCCACTTAATCCACCGAGCGCATACAAAAGATCAGGTGGTGAATCTGTGGAGTTTGGGTTAAGAACATAAGAGATGCCAGTGTTGGATCAGGCCAAAGGCCCATCCAGTTCAACACTCTGTATCACACAGTGGCCAAAAATACCAGGTGCCATCAGGAGGTCCACCAGTGGGGCCAGGACATTAGAAGCCCTCCCACTGTTGACCCCCCCAAGCACCAAGAAGACAGAGCATCACTTGCCCCAGAGCCCCTATCTATACCTTGTGGCTAATAGCCACTGATGGACCTCTGTTCCGTATGCTTATCTAATTTCCTCTTGAAGCCGTCCATGCTTGTAGCCGCCACCACTTCCTGTGGCAGTGAATTCCATGTGTTAATCACTCTTTGGGTGAAGAAGTTCTTCCTTTTATCCGTTCTAACCCGACTGCTCAGCAATTTCATGGAGTGCCCACGAGTTCTTGTATTGTGAGAAAGGGAGAAAAGTACCTCTTTCTCTACCTGCTCTTTCCCATGCATAATCTTATAAACCTCAATCATGTCACCCCTCAGTCGTCGTTTCTCCAAGCTACGAGGGTTCTGCCTCATTCTGGGTGTTTTCCCCAGGAAGAAGGTTGTGTTAGCAGCAGGAACCTTGGGCACCCTTGGCACATTGTTTGGGTTGCTTTCGTACCTGCCGCTCTTGCTTTGCTATTGACTTTGTGTGAGAGGGGAAAGCAGGAGCTGCCGAGGGCAAACGGTATTGCAGTTTGCACTTGCTCCTCAGAATGGATTTATGAGATATGTGCTCCTGCTGCTGATATCTCTTACTGGCCTTTTCTGCTTAAGCTCTGAGGCTTGCTGAGTTGGAGCAATCCTTCAGAAAGCAACGGTTCCTCATTTGCACAGAAAACACTTGATGGTCAGTCGCAGTGTGGCTTGACAGTCGTTCATAGGCTACCTGCTGCTGCTTAACCAACGTGGGCTTTGTTCTTGGATCTGCTCTGTGTTGAGGTCAGTGTGTAAGTTTTTGAACGGGAGCTGAACTATGGAAACGAGCACGGCTATTTTTGGGCAGGAACGCACAGGAACGGAGTTCCGGCTGGCTCCTGAGTTGGCCACGCCCAGCAGGAACTCATTAGCATAATAGACCACACCTAACAGCAGAAACTCATTAAGATTGGCTACATTAGGGGTGTGTGGCCTAACATGCAAATAAGTTCCTGCTACAAAAAAAGCCCAGGGTTTTGACAACAAACAGAATAAGACGCAAAAGGTGGGTGTGGCTGGATGACCACACTTCTGGTAACATGGGGGTGTGGCTTAATAGGCTAATGAGTTTCTGCTGTTGGGTGTGGCCTGTTATGCTAATGAGTTCCTGCTGGGCTTTCTCTACAAAAAAAAAGCCCTGGAAACGAGTATCTTCCCCCACTAAAGCTTTTACAGGAGGTCCCAAGCAGTGTTCCCTCTAAACTGAGTTACTGTGAGCTAGCTCACAGTTTTTTAGCCTCCGGCTCACACATTTTTTGTCTTAGCTCAGGAAGGATGGCTCCAGAGCAAAACTAAATTATGCAGCAGCCAGATCGCTCGCTCACAACTTTAATGCCAGTCGCTCACAAAGTAGAATTTTTGCTCACAAGGCTTCACAGCTTAGAAGGAGCATTGGTCCCAAGTAGAGCGAAGCCTGCCCGGATGGGAAATTTCACCTTAGGATTTCTACCAGCAACACAAAAGGTTGAGCTACACAGTAATGAGAGCAGTAAACAAAAAGAACTGTGTACCAACACTGTATATGAAATCCAAATATTATTATTATTTTAAGCAAATTAATGCACACTGTAATACTATATGCACATAAGGACGGTACCACACAGATAAATACACAGAATATCTTCTTCAAAGCTTTTACAAAAAAGCTTTTCAGCACAAATCCCACTTCAGAGGACTATGTCCCAGCTGAAATTGTGACAGAGTATCTACCTGGAACAACATTTAGTCAGATCTGTTCCTTGAGAAAGCACATGGGAAATGTGTTTGGAGTAAGCTAGCATTCACATCAGAGAAAGAATGAAGAGCTGTAGGGTGGAAAGAATTTTTTGTGGACTTAATGTGAACACTGAAAAGAGTTGCTCCTAACAGTGTGAATTGAAACTACCATACTCATCCTTTGAAGAAGTTATTTTGTGTATTTATCTGTATGGTACAGTCCTTATGTGCATACAGTGCACATTAATTTGCTTAAAATAATAAGAATATTTGGATTTTTATGTACAGTGTTGGCACACAGTTCTTTTTGTTTACTGATAGGATTTCTTCTTGTTGTGCCGTTCCTCTGAGGTGCTCAGGTCAGACTACATGGTGCTCCCCTCTCCCATCTTTTCAACAGCCCTGTTAGGCTATTGCAGCATGACTTGTCCAAGACCTAGTCCAGTGCTTTAACCACGATGCCACCCTGGTTCTCGTTTGCTGCTTTCTTCCTGCTCACCTAACCCTTTCCAGGTAGAGAGTCGGGCTCTGTTGTCCTGCAAGGCGGGGCTAAGCCAGTATGTTACGTACTCTAGACTAGGCTGCCTTTATCTTCCCCAGCTCTGGAATGCACTTGAATCCCAGTGGGCGTTTGCAACTTGGTAGTAGTTCTGTTGCCCAAAAGGCAAGGGAGTGTCTGTCCACTTTTCCAAATGTCGAGGAATACCTCTAGTCAGGAGATATAGAGTTATGTTCTATACAGTGAAGATCTTAAGGGATGGGGCAGGATAAAAGACTTTTCCCCCTGTTGCTGAAACTTTGTCGGGGTCACGATGTGTAGGCTGTACGGTCCAGATTCTTCTTTCACCATGGAGCTGCAAAGTGGCTTGTGTGCAGCGACACCATTAAGCCCAGTGCTGTCCTGCCCTACCTCTCCGCCTCCCTCCTACCTTGCAGATTCCGCAATAACATTGTGATTTGACTCCTCCTTCAGTATCAAGTGGGGCAGCTGTACTCTGTGGCAGAAGCCAGCAAAAACGAAACGGGTGGAGGAGAAGGGGTTGAAGTCCTGGTGAATGAGCCCTATGAGCGTGATGGAGAACGCGGCCAGTACACGCACAAGATTTACCACTTGCAGAGGTACGTCATCGAGAGGAGTTGATGGCGCAGGGCCAAAATGTGCTAGGATTTTGGAAAACCCTTGGCCAAGAGTGTATCCAGAGTAGTCTCGCTTGGTGTTCTGGGGCAGGAGGTGTAGCCTATTTAGTATTTTGTCTGCTTGGCTTCCAGGTCTTTGGGGGTAATGAGGGGGAGAGGGCTGGTTGGCCCCAGGATGATGTGTGATTGCCTTATTGTTGGAGGGTTGGGAGCAGTGTTCACAGTTTTTTTGCCTCCAGCTCACACATTTTTGTCTTAGCTCAGGAAGGACAGCTCCAGAGCAAACTAATTGATGCAGTAGCCAAATTGGTCACTCACAACTTTAATGCCAGTGGCTCACGAAGTAGAATTCTTGCTCACAAGACTCCACACCTTAGAGGGAACATTGGTTGGGAGGGACCTTCTTGGGACTTTGCCCAACCTGCTTCCAGAGGGACAGATCTTAAGCCAAAGTTCTGGGCTGTCTTGCCACCAGCAATGGAGACTTCATGCCCGGGAGGCCACCCGAGTCCCAGTGTTTCTCCGAGCTGGCTTTGAGCACTGCCAAGTGAAGACTCCTGCACACTGCAGCCTGCTAAAGTGCTCCACCTGCATTACTCTAGGAAAGTTCTTCCTCTTAGCTGTACTTTTAGCTAGCGCTCCTCCTCCCTGCCGCAGAGAATAACTGACCCCCACTCTGCTTTGCTGTCTCTGGGTGGGGCAGGGTGGCCTTCTACTCACCGGCAAGTCCTGTGGACTGGCTGATTCAAACTGCTGTGGTAGGCTCGTATCTGCCGCTCCTGGAGAAGACTACATGCCTGGTCTGGGCAGGGAGCCAGCCTAGGGTTAGTTGCCTGAGAAAGTCGGTCCCCCAAGTCTGCTAGAGCTCCACGGCACCTCTGGGTTTAGCCTTTCAGGCTCGGGTTGGGGCTGAGTTGGAAGCAGCATCCCATATCGTACGCTGCCGCTCTGGACTCGGTGTGACCTTTTTAGGGTGTTGCTTAATCCCTTGTATTAACAGTGTGGGAGGGACAAAGCATTTTCCATGGAAAACACTTGCCAGCTGGTGTCCTTGTTCTGTTGCTGGCTACAGAAAGATAAGTGGTCCCAAGGTACTGGAGCTTGTCATTTGTGTGTGTGTGTGTGTGTGTGTGTACGTGCTCCAATGGCATCCAGTTGAAACTGGCAACTTTCTTGTCTCTTGTCCCTGCAGCAAAGTCCCCCCTTTTGTGAAAATGATTGCCCCAGAGGGAGCCCTGAATATCCATGAGAAAGCATGGAATGCATATCCTTATTGCCGAACAGGTGAGTACTGGTGGAAGAGATTTTGAGCAGTCAGGGTGATGCGTTGGCAAAAAAAGGCTAATTCAGTCTTGGGTTGTATTAAAAGGGCCCTAGCACCGAAATCGCAGGAGGTCATAAGCCCCTCTGTATACTGCCTTGGTCAGGCCACACCTGGAGTACTGTGTGCAGTTCTGGAGGCCTCAGGTCAAAAAGGATGTGGGCAAAATCAAGAGGGTGCAGAAGAGAGCGACGAGGATGATCAGGGGTCTGGAGACTGAGCCCTACGAGGGAAGGCTAAGGGCCCTGGGATTGTTTAGTTTGGAGAAGAGGAGACTGAGGGGGGACACGATTGCTCTCTTGAAATATTTGAAAGGCTGTCCTTTGGAGGAGGGCAAGGAGCTGTTCCAGTTGGCAGCAGAGGATAGGACCCGAAGCAACGGGTTTAAATTACATGCAGAAAGGTATCCGCTGGATATTAGGAAAAACTTTTTCACGGTCAGAGTGGTTCAAAGGTGGAATCAGCTGCCTAGGGAGGTGGTAAGCTCCCCTTCACTGGCAGCTTTCAAAAAGAGGCTGAATATTTGTCAAAGATGCTTTAGGCTGGTCCTGCACTGGGCAGGGGGTTGGACTAGATGGTCTGTATGGCCCCTTCCAACTCTATGATTCTATGGGATGCAAGATAGCTTTATGGATGCTCTGTGGTCTCTTTATCCAAATGCAAAGCAGTGCTGGACTTTGGGAGTGGTATCCAGTATCATTCAGTGACACGTCTACAAATTCTGCATCTTATAGGAGTCTTTTGCAATGTAAACCTCACACCTCATGTTTTTCTCTTCTGTGTTTGGGTGTTGAATGAGGGTCATTTCCACTTTTATTCTTGGCACCTGAAGTCATGGGCTGTTTTCATGCAAAGTCATACATTGGTTGATCATATAAATGCTTGCCGTGTTTCTGAATTGCCCATATCAGTCAATCCTTTCCAAGATGCTTCATATGAAGCACAGTATGAAGCTAAGACTTTCTTTGCTGGGTTAGCAGAGCTTAGAAGTTAGTATGCAAGGACTTCCAGTGAAAAACAGTAACAGTCATTCACTTAACACTGGAGATAAGACACCTTTTCTCTGCCAGGCCGTTCTTAAAGGTAAACACTTTAAAAACGGCCTGGTAGAAAAACGGCGTCTTATCTCCCGGGTTAGCAGAGCTGGCATGGGAGTAACTGGATTCTAAATTGCAGTTTCGGCATGCTGCCTGTTCAAAACCTTGTGCATCAAGAAAGCCATGGAATCTTTTGGTCTCGAGATAAAAAGTTCCACCCATCAAACAGTGGATGCGAGAGCAGAGTACTTCTCGTTGACTTCCCTGCAGTGTGAGCTTCTGCCTGTGGTAGGGCACTGCTGGCCCTGGGCAGAACGTTTGTCTTCTCAGCATTCAGCAACTGCATAGCCACGGAGGCATTAAAGTGCTTGGCTCAGCTGTCTTGGCGAGGCGCGCCTCCTTACGTCAAGGCTTACCACATCAACACTTTGCTCTGGAAAGGGGCTTCTGCCAAGGATGCGGCCAGGGCACCGCTGGTGTTTCCCGGATGCAGTGCCTGCCTGGGTACAGTCTTTCCCTTGCCACATAGGCAGGATTGGTGGTGGATGGCTTTCAAGCCTGAGAGCATAGGGTGGAGGGACTGAAAATGGCCTGTCCTCAGGGCAGTCTCCGGCATCTTTTGGATGTCAGGCATTGACTCCCTTGACATCTTAGCAGCCTGGAGACCAGGCAGGCATGGGTCAGTGCAGCTCCCTTTTCACATGCACAGGCCAGCCCGGCTGCCCACTCATGCTTGCCTCCCTCTAAAAGGTGAGGCTAACCCTGCAAAAGTAGCCCTCTGAGCAGAGCTCTGATGCATCGTTTTGGAACCTTTGGCTTCGGTCCTTCTAGTTTCGACTCCTTGTTTTTAAGAATGGAAATAACGGAGGTGGCTGGTGTGAGGAGCTGCGGCTGTCACCCGATCTTCCATAGCTTTGCTCGTGAATAATTGAGGCCAGCTATTGGCTGGGTCTGGTTACTGGCAGCAGGCTATAGAGCAAGGGTGCCAGGTCTGGTTACCCGCATGCTGGGGTGAGGAAGGCTGCAGTGCCCTGTGAGCTACCCTCTTTCCTTGGCAGAAATGGCGAGGGATTGGTGGACAGCAGTCAGCTGATGATCACGCTGGTTCCATCTCATCTCAGTTGCCTGTGCCAATGGAGCACATGGCAGCAGTGCAGAACTCAAGGCCGCTCAGAGGCTGTTGTTTGCGAAATGGGCTGCCTGTTTTTTACGTGGCTTACATTTTTTTTAAAGACCTGGACGACCCGTAGGGGTAGGTCGAAGATGCTGGTGTGTTCTTGAATAGCTGTGTTCCAGTTCTGCATTTGTTTAGTTAGGGCCACAGAGTGGCTAAAGCAGGGGTGTCAAACTCATTTGTTATGAGGGCCGGATCTGACATAAATGAGACCTTGTTGGGCCGGGCCATGTGTGTCATAAAATGTAATGCCAGGTAGCGGAGATATAAACTTTATAAAGGACACAAACACAAAGTTTTTTTTAAACTTAAAATAAAAATATGCTTAAAACATTAGCTCCTTAAGCTGCAAACCTACTTTTGATTTATTGACATTCACCGCAGAAATCTCATGCTCAGAGTTCTGAGTCTAGGACCCAGGTTAAAACATGAAATGGCTGAGTGATTAAGAGAGTCTGGCGAAGCAAGCTGTGATGTAGCAGCAGCAGCAGAACTGGAAGCAGGAGATGGCCAGTTCCACTGTGGGCCTGATCCGGCCCCCGGGCCACATGTTCAACACCCCTGGACTAAAGGACTTTCATGAGACTTCCACAAGTGGAACATAGCCTTCCCCTTCCCAAGAGGCAGGGCACGGGCCACAGGCAGGCCTAGTGGAAGGTCTTTGACATGCTATTTCATGTAAGGTTGCTGTCCAGGATAGAATCTAATCTTAATTCTACCCTTAAGGAACTTGTATCAGTGCCAGGGTACATATTCCATGTAGAAGAAGATGCCTCTTCAGAGTCTGTTAGGACCAAAAAGGTCCCTCGGCAGAATACACTGAGCTCTCCCTAGAAGCTAAAATGACTGAGGCTATTGTACTTTGGGCATATCCCGAGAGAGAAGACAACTCACTGGGAAAAGACAGTAATGTTAGGAAAAGTTGAAGGCAGCAGGAGACTAGGAAGCCCTAACATGAGATGGATGGACTCAAGGAAGCCGTGGCCCTCAGGCTGCAAGACCTGAACAAGGCTGTGAACGATAGGATGTTTTGGAGGTCATCAATACATAGGGTGACCCTAGGTCGGAAGTGACTCAACGACGCCTACACACACA